CATTACTTCCGCGCAAACGATGTTAACTGAGCAAACTGCGTTGTTTGCCCCGTAATGCCGTTACGTTGCAACGATTAACAAATATCGTTCGATTGCTTGACCTAGGAAACTTCTTTCAGCCTCGTCTACCTGTGTCTATTGCCCGATATAACCTCCGACTGTCGCGTGTCGTCGATTGGAGGAAAAAGGGGAGTAAGAATTTGAGAAGATTGTAAGTGTGAAGTTTGTTTATTGGAAATGTTGTTCTGAAGAATTGTTAGTACCAGGAATTATTATAGTAATAATAGAAAATTATGCAATACACGTTTGTTTCGTAACGAACAGGTACGAATTGGTGTGGGAGTAGATCAAAGAAGAAATTGCAGACTATAGAGTACCTATAGATCTTGCAAACCTACTTTGAAACACAGATAATCGTTATCTGACGCAGCTCGTAAATTCTTCATGACAAAAATATGGGTATTGCACATTTTTCCTAGAAGCTAATTATACGTGAAGCTAACAAAGTGTCTATAATTCTGTAACTGAAGTCCCTTCAATTCGCGTTGAAATGCTAAATGAAAGCACGAAGCATGAAAGCATGAATTTGAACAATAACATTGTCCTACTTCTGTTAATTATTTCCTTTTGTAACATAGGAATTTGTGAATGAACAAAACAACCCATTGTAAATTGAATAATCGCTGAAATTCCTCGAGTAATGAATAAAGAGCATAAAATAAACGATAAACGTGACTTCAAGAAATGCGAAATGAAAGCAGGAAACACCTTCCTGGTAAATTCCAAACGAATTTGAACAATAATACTGTCTCACCTTCGTTAATTATTTCCTCCCCTAATTCAGGAATGTTTATACTAAGAAAACACTGCGTTATAAATTCAACAACCACCGAAGTTTCTTGAAAAATGAATAAAATATAAAGATGATTGCGACCATATTTTCCTTTGAAAAATAAAATGTTAAACGAAGGAACAAATTATTCCACACTTTCGACTAGCTTTCCCACATTTCCCTGGATCCCGCTGCCGCAACTTGCTTCTCACCCCTTATTAGCGCGAGTTTGCTCGATCGCCGCCGCGTCTTTTTACACGCCAGCACGAACACGCAACAGGTAAATGGTAATACGCTAAGATCGCATGCTGCAATTAATTTTTTAATGGCTAAATTATAGCCTCGAGTTTTCTCCGACTTCGACAGACACACGATTCGCATTCCTCCGAAACCGTGTTACTCCGAGCGTGTTGAACGGCCGCGCCGGCGAATAAACGTGCAAATCGAGCGACGCTGCCTCAAAGGAAAAGAGAAACGCGCCCTTTCTGCAGACCGGAAGCGGCGTGACCGCACGTCCGTTTTCGGACAAATAGCGAAACGCTCGTTGATCGAGCTTGTACATTCGTGCGCGAACACCGTGATCTCGTCGCAATCGATACGATCTTCTGTCACGAATTTCGCCGAGCTTTTGTCATTGAAAAGAAAATTTACGAGATGCGTATTCTAATCCGGCGCACTATCGATCGCATTTAACGCTAATTCCGCGAGCCACGGGAAACGGGGCGTTTAATATATAATTTAAATTCAATTGAATAAATAATTTTCGCATCTCTTGGCTAATTCGATAATATTCCTATTGTTTTTCTTTCCATCTTTAACCTATTTCTAATGTGAAATCATCTTCGAATTTGTGTTCGTTTTGTCGATGCGAGAAATAGCAATGTTACAATGCATTTTATACTAGAATTTTATTTATTATTCCGACCGAATGACTTCAAGTTTACACAAGTGAAGATTGGAAATTATGTGAGTGTGTTTCTTTTCTGAATAGCTAAGAGGGTGTTAAATTCTTGAAATTCTTCGATAGAAAACTTTCCTTTGGGTATAAGTTCGCGAATCCACTTTAAAATGGATAAAACTACTTTCTCCGGTGAAACGTTGTTAAAATTGAGGGTCATCGTGCAAGAATTTCCACCGATTTAACGGGTGACGTTCTTGAACGAAATACTTCAGGAAACGATTTTCAGAGAAACACCGTATAAATCTATTTAACGAACGTACGAAAAACATTCGAACGACATCGGTGAAAAGGTTCTCGCGACGAGATCTTCACGTTTCAATTATGCAAACACATTTAAGGATTCTATCATGTTCCCGATCCCGGTGAATAGAAAATTATTCATAAAGTTGGATACGCGTGTTTGAAGTTTAATGTCGTTTGCATCGGAAAGCGTATAACGTTGATTACAAAAGCTTCTCTTTTTTGTTTTTCTTTTTTTCACGAGATCGTATAATTTTCCAAGAGACGATCTATTTTCCGGCAAGCCAGTTTAATGGAAATTCGTTCAACGGCAAACGAACGTATCGATGGAACATAAACTTAGATTATTGATAACGATATTCACCTTTGATCATGCCGGGGGAACTTTATAAACTGTAAAACCTCCCGGCGAGCGTAAAACGAAGCTCAGATCAAATTGGCATACACGATGTGTAGAAGGTGAACCGTATAACGTTATCACGTCTATTATTTTCCCTAGTTTCTATGTATTTGTGTAACGGAAAAGAAACTGGCATAATGGTGTAAATTTTAATTCAAAGCTTAAGATTAGACGTGAGAGACACAGTATCTTATTCAGCTTATCACAAAAATCACTTTTCACCTGAATACTTTTATCGTGGATCATTTCGTTAGATAAGAAAAAGTATTTGCTTTCAGGCGAATCATCGAATTTGTAAAAGTATAGGTTAATACATAAAAAAATCGAGAATGACGTTGAAAAGACAGGAAAAATCGAATCTCTTCACCTTGAAAATCTTTCAAAACTGTATTATCTACGATGAAAAAATTGTGATCTGCCCGCTAACAAAGAAAAGAATAATGATCACGTTACACGGTTCACCTTGTGTACGCGAAATTAGCAAACATTCCCGACACAAAAATCTTGCAATGTTAATCACTGTATTGGTATTTCAATTGGCAATTATTTTTCCAGAATAATTATCGTAACGATTAAAATTTCAAAAACACTGCTGCACAACTGCACTTCTCCTACATTTCCTACATTCGCGATTCTAATTGTTTCGTTGCTCTGAATGTGACTATCTCGATATTAAATCAATTACACAGGCCAGACTTCGCTCGTCCCTCTTGTAACAATTCCTCCGCACATTTCCAACGTATGACACGCAGAACGTATTGTTCTAAACGTACTCTTCTGTTCGAAAAGTTCCAGGACAAACTCGTTCCACGATTATCGCCGCTGCGGTGGGCAAAGAAGTCCTACCGAGTGCTCAAACAGCGAATAAACAATACTACTATGGTACTACGAAGCGTTCGCGTGCTTCGATTCGCAAAAAACGACCGGATTTATGGGGAAACAACTCATGAATTTTACATCGCGATAACGCACCGGCTCACACTTCCATGTTTGTTCGCGATTTTTTGGTCAAAAACTCGATTAACATCATGCCGCGAGCACGGTATTCGCTTGACCTACCAGCGTGCGACTTTTTCCTGTTTCCCAGACTGAAACTCCCGCTACGGTGACGTTTTTTTAAGTCAATAATTCGCTAGGCAAGCTAAAAATCGTTCGAAAAATTATTAACGTAAATATACAAGGTGTCCCGTAACTCTGGGAAAATCCGGAAATGGGGGATTGCTGGGGTGATCCTGAACAACTTTTTCCTTATCCAAAATGTAGTTTGAAGCTTCGTTTTCGAGTTATTAACGAAAAACACTGGCCAATCACAGCGCCCGTAGAGCCAGCGCTCAGGGACAAGCGAACAGAGGTACTTTTATTCGTTATCCGAATAAAGTGTTTTATTACTTATTGAAAACTTACCCATTAATCCACGAATGAACCTGCTTCGACGGAAGTGGGTCGTTGGCACTGGGTCAGTATGTCGGTCCCTACCTTTCCAGGTAATCCGAAACAGCTGATGTTACGGTCGGGCCATACGGTCGCCGTCCCTGAGCGCTGGCTCTGCAGGCGCTGTGATTGGCCAGTGTTTTTCGTTAATAACTCGAAAACGAAGCTTCAAACTACATTTTCGATAAGGAAAAAGTTGTTCAGGATCACCCCAGCAACCCCCCATTTCCAGGTGGTCCCAGCGTTACGGGACACCTTGTATATTGCTGAGCATTGGAGAATACTTCCCGGGCTGCTCGAAGGCGATGGCAAGGTCCTTGAAAGGGAAAAGATGAAGGAACGGAAACAGAAAATCTGAAGAAGTCGGGAAAGAGAAAGTTCGTGAGAGAAATAGAAGAGTTTCTGAAAAGCGTGGTAGCAAGGATGTGTTGCCAGTGATCAGATAGATTGTTCGGTCCCAAGGACCAAGTCAACAGCCACGATCAGGATAATTGTTTTACAATCGCTCGAGAACTGGATACTACTTGTGTCAGAAGCAAACGGAAGGATACTTTCTGGTCGTAAAAAGTGGCATTTTCGTGTATCGACAATTTCTAATAACAAATTCTGTTTTCCACAAAAGGAACCAATAGGAAACGAGCGCTGCTTGCAAAAGCGCAAACACAACTACGAACGAGAAAACACGATATTTGAATCGTAATTGTAATTATAAACCACGAGAATATACACAATTATAGAACGCGGCAAATCCTATTTGAACAAGGCTTAGAGATTAATTTCATAATAGCCGCCGTCTCGTACAATTAAAACTGTCTCCTACAAGCGTAAGAAGAACTTACACTCCGTGAAATTGATAAAAAGAAGAAACCTGGACATTACTGAACAAACGAATAATTTCTACTTTATTTATTATTTAAAAAGAATGAAAACAGAATTTGCCATTTTTCTGTTAGCTCGTGAATACCATCGCGACAGAAACTCCATGGCTTCGGAATCAATTATGCGAATCCTATCGGTAAAGAATTCACTTCTGCGCCTTTTTCAATGGAACAGTATCGCCGAAAGGGACATTGAACTTAGGATTAAGATAGAACTGAATAAATCTGTTAATTGGAAATTCGACGGGCATCACTTACCTTATGGTGGATAAGCGATATGTTGTTTCGAGTGCGGAATAATACACCTCAGTCTTCTGTGCGTATGCGTCAAGAGCAGGGGGCAACACAGAGGTGTTGAGCTTCTTCCGAATTCGGCCACGCAGGAGGTCATCACTTCGTGCAACACCATTGCAATTGACTTGCCTCACCACCACCGAATGATCAAACAGAGTCACGGCGTCCGATCGATCCCCCGTGATCGATATCTAGCGTGCGAACACTCGCGCGAACCGCGTTCTTTTTCTGGTCGGCGTGTGTGCGAGTCAGTGGATTTCGCGGCTCGTTTCGCAACTGGAACGGGCCGGAGATTCGTCTGAAATATCACACGACAGCCAGAGGTCAATTACAACGTCCATTCTCTTACGAGAGAGGCATTTCACGTTTAACGACTACTTCTTTTTACGTTGTTTCGCCCGTTTTACTTAATCGCGTGAACATTCGCGTTTAATTGTGTCAATTACAGTTTCACCGGTTTACTTTAATCGTGTAATTTTGTAACGTCATCTTGAGAGAGTGCACCGTGATTACAGGCCGTTTTCCTTCATATTTCCTGCGATAAGGATTTTTACAATAAAGATATATTTCTGATTAAAATTGTCCTCGTTTAAAATTTGCTAAGTTGCATAATAGTCTGACTTTGTTAGTAAATTGTTCTGAATTAACAATGGTCTTCTGTGGAAGCTAAACATCGTTACCAACGACTTTTACACTTTTGTAGGCAGTTTTACAAATTGTTTCCAGATCAACCTCTGAATTTTCCTTTGTTCGCAGAATCGTTTGAAAAGTGCGTCTTTTTAATGAAAAACCGAAAGACACAAAGCAAAGTCGAGTGAGTACAGTGGGTAGGAAATGGAAGTGACTGTTTTCAGTGAAAATTGAAACTGTACTTCAACGAGATCTGTTTTAAAAATCGTGGAGGTAAAGGAAATCGAATTATAAAAACAATTTCAAATCTCGAAAGGAATGTCTTTTGGGGATAAAGTGAACGCTAGTTAAATCGCCAATGGTGACCATATTATACTTGTGGAATTGGTTTGATAATATGTTGTGAGTGATGGCGTGAATGTAGTGTGTTTGTCGAATCGTCTCGAGATTTGGAAAACGAGCGGATCATAGAGAGAAACAGGGAGTAAAACAGTAGAACCGCGTTGTTATCGATATCGGAGAGTGTGCGAGAATATTTGCGAGATATAATAAGAGACCGTTGATCAGATTATCATTATTCCTTTTTACGTGTGTTTATAGTTATTATGAAATTATTGTTATAAAATACATTGCTATTGAACTTATTATCACGTGTTATATAACCACAATACTGTCATCAGGTTTTCTCTTCAGTTATGAGATATTGGGATGTACACAGTAGTTTGGATATTTTTTGATCGAACCTCGAATTAAGCGCCCGAGTATCGACAATTAGTCAATAGAAAATTTCAATACACCTTGTCTGTATTTGTTGAAATTTATAAATTCGAATGTACCCTGATTTATTGCTAATTTTGAAAAATTGTCAAACTTGATTAACGTACATTTATTCGAGATTGAAATTGACTTATAAGATGTAGCTAAATATTGCCTTATAAAGAGTGAACGAATAAGAAACATGATTGTTGAATTCTACTTTAACAAAATTTTTCTATGCATATTTAAAAGACCAAATTTTAAATACGAATTTTTATTTCAACTTCAACTCCGACTTTCCCTTCTTATCCCTATTTTTTCATTAAACAAATCCCAAAAAGGAAACACTTGACTAACAACAATTTAATCAACGAACTTCTACTCACATTATCCAATATTAATTAATTTTCTAGATCACGCACAACCTCAAAATCCACGATATCTACTTAAACAACGAAAATTTGTTCTACAAAAGTGTTCCACAAAAGAAGATTCTCCGAGTCTGCCAAAAGCGACTCTACTATATCAAACTTCCCCCGCAGAAGTATTCTAATCTTTCTGATCTGTGGACAAAATAGGATCCCCCAAGTTTCTACTATTTTTCTACAAGTTCCGCGGAAATTCATCTGGCTCTGGCTGTCCAACAGTTCCCGAAGACGCGTCGAGACTGGAAGAGAGTATCGATTCTCCTCTTGCAACGAAAAACAAGCCGACAGATAGAGTCGAAAGCGACTAACGTCCAGAAAGTTTTCTGGAGATCGTCGGCGGGAGAAAGGTCAAAAGCTAACAATTTCAACTGGAAATCTCAACTTGGGCCACGAAGCTCAGCAAGTCCCGCGGCCGGAGCTTTTATCAAACGCGATCAACCCAGTCAGCTTTCAGGATTTATATTTCCCGATCGGAAACCTCGTTCCAGCTGCCTCCTAATTCGACGAAGATAAATCTCGGGGATTGTACCGTGTGATCGCGTACGCGTTCCCTTATCACAACGAGTCTCGAACATCTCTCATGTTAATACGCGGAGCCTCGAGAACGGCGAGTTTCTTGGCTCGCGTGGCGAGTATGAGTATTTCAGCTTGCTCGAGGTGAGTGTTCCTTGCGGTCAGATTAAACGCTTGGTATTTGAAATATTTGAAATAGATTTAAATCGGACGAAGACCTCACATGTGTGAAAAAGGGGGGAAAGTGTAGATACTTGAAAAATGTGGCTCTTTTTTTAATGTTTTATGGTTCAGACAAATTCTATTAGTATTTCTATCTAGTATTAAGTTATTCGATTTAGAAAAGTTTTATGAAATTTTAGTAGAAAGATGGTATTAACACTAAAACAACCAAACCCGTCAAATTACTTAATACTTTAAATTACAAAAATGATTAAAATGCCTTTGGTCAAGTATGTGATGACTTCTGTTGAAATAGACAAATAATTATACTATAATTTATTTTCCATTAATCTTTCCAGTTTCAAAGTTCTTTGTAAGAAAATATGCTACATTTAACTCTGGTTGTTCTAGAGTTAATAACTAATGAAAATAGAAAAATTTCAGGAGTTCTTGGAACTTTGTAAATACTCGTTTAATGTACAGATAATTAATAAATGTGAAATTATGATATAGTAATTTGGTTGAGTTATTGTAAAACGATCTTTGCTAACTTTAAATCCCAAGATATGAAAAATATGTTCACTTGTGTAAATATAATGAAATTTTTCTTTCCACAAATTTCCGTGGAATAATTAAAAAACCTTCGTTGAATTATTTGCAATGCAACAGTATTTCTCGTATTGAAACAAATTAAATGTACAACATGCGGATATTTATAAGAGAATAAACATGTCAAAGTAAATAATGCGCAAGAAAATTTTTACCAGTATAAATACCTCGTTGAACCTCCAAATCGTTTAAATCAACAAAGAAAAAATCACAACTGCGATAATACCATATTTTCGTTAAAAGAAAGAAAACATTGAATTGAACAGGTTTGCAAACATCGACGTCAAATATCTGATTAATTATTGAATTAAACTGAAAACAACGGTCGATTGTCAAAAACACTCCACTCTCGATCCGTCAATAATTACACTTTGTCCTCTAAACAATGGATATTTGTCAAAAATAAATGCTGCCCTCTGACATCGATATTGACGAATTAAACGCGATCCCTGCAAGACGAGCGTCGAACTCAAAAGAGAAACTCTGTCAAAATAAGACGTCTGTAATATTTCAATCGTAACAACACCAACCTTGTATACCCTTTCAGAGTCGCACGACTAATAAAACTGACCTAAATTGAAACTGTCAGAAACGTCGAAATTAGTCGATCTGAAGACGGTCTTACTGAGCTTGGACAGAAGGAAATTGATGAAACGTCGAACGATATAAAAAAGGACCAAAGTCACATTGGGGAAAAGTCTGCGAAACATTTGCACAGAGCCACCTGTCCATTCGATTCGAGTGTCGAGCCTCGGAACAACGCGCACAGAACTCATCAATGCACATGTACTGCTACTGGCTACTGGTTCGAAAGAGGCCAGTAGTTTCTAGGAGGTAACGAACTTACGGAATTAGCACAGCATTCGCGATTCCCGAGGAAAGTCGAACGAATAAGATTCGTATTAGAGAACATTTTCGAAGAGAAACGCAGGAGAAAAAAGAGAGATAAAATAAAACTGGTCTGCGGTACACGTTGCAGCTTCCTTCCTCGTTCTAACCTACTCGAGAGATCTTAACGAAACGTAAAGAAAAAGTAAATAACTCACGGTAAATAACGTCGAACGAGAGTCGTTTCGAAAGTTCTAACTGGAATTGTAAAAAATGTATCACTGAACTTCTACTGCGACATGTTGACGAATAAACTCGTTTTTGAAACAGAGAATAACCTCAATTCGTTAATAGAATCACAATTACGTATGCTGATCGTAGTGCTATAATGCTCCAGCATTAATGACAGTGCTCCATTTTGCCTGTCACAACACAGAAACGTCGTCGCACGAGCAAGTTTGCGAGACCGTTGCTAGTTCACACAAACGTCTCCACGAAAATCGATCAGACACACAATTATTAGCGGCAAATAACCTCCTTGATACAGGTTCCGAGGGAGCTACTTCGACAGAATGCAAATACCACTTATGACTGATGCAACAGACTATCCTTCCACTCTCGCGTGTCAGATCAATTCGATTTGTCACGAGAGAAAAGAAATGGTGTAACGATAACATATTCCGTTGCACGAGAAACGTTTCACGAAAAACGAACATTCACAACGATGACACTGCACGCGTGTCAAACACGTCTCTCGTCTGTCGTGTCTAATCCTAGAATGCCACCACGAAAATCATCGTGGTTCGTTATAACGTAGCTTTCACGCTGTTCTCACGGTGCACGTTCGTCTAGAATACATGTGCTCCCTCTCTCTCCCTTTGGACTTTGGACTTTGACCACCGTTCGATGTTCTCACTCGACGATGTAAAAGAAACGACCAGAAACCGATAAATAAACCTCGTGAAGGGCACACAAGAAACAACGAAAGGAAAACAAAACGCGAGAGACAAAAAAAAGATCGAAAAGAATCACGAGGATCAACACAGAACGTGAACATACTCGTTTCTCAGGCTCGTTACCACTTGTTAGCAGTTGAATGCGTCACGCATCAAT